CCTCATGTAGTTCCTGCAGTTTTGCCAATTCAGACACTGGTTTGTTTGATTCTGCAATGGAACAGCTTAATAGTAAACATCAATGACTAGAAGTAACAGAACGGAAATGTCAACACATCCCGGGAATATGATTAATCTCAATCAATAGACCTGCTAAATTCCCGGCCAAGTGTACCTAATCTGATGATGCAATCTTGGTGGTTTGGACCTTATAAAGGCAACGTATGAAAAGCACGAAAAGAAGAAGAGGAAGAGCATGAGCCAAGAGAAGAAGGCACCTGAAGTAGCACCGGTCGAGCAGCTGTCCTCCATCTGGTAATTCTTTATCTTCTTCTTCACTATAAACTATGCCAGTCATCCTTTATATAAAGCTGTAGATTTATTGAACAGTATGGTTTGCAGCAGCCAGCAGCCTGATCTTCCTTCTATGGAAATAAAATCTATAATGTATATTTCAGTACAAAAATTTGCACTGCCAATTACAGTTAAATTTACAAGCCATTAGATTCTCCACAGTACTGTAGGATTTGGAGTTGTGATTTTGTACCGATTCTATGCATGAAATCTTCTTGTGGCTTTAAACGAAGCGCGGAAAAACACGGGGACTTTCTTGTTCTTTTTCTACGTGAGATTAGGACACGACGATGGTCATTGGTCATTCGACCGGTTTGGATGGTGAAGCTTGTACTGTGACGAAGCTGGTACATGTTTTTGAAACTAGGATCACGAGAACAAGTTTTATGAGAAAAAAGTTCGGTGAATATGTTCATAAACTTGAAACTCACCCTTTGTGTTGTGTTGTATTGTAATATCTAATATTACATGTTAAACATGCTTATAGTTAACAACTTTTTGAACTTATTTATCGACTTTTATGTATGTAGCACTTTGCAAACTACTTCAAACTTAGTTTTTGAATACTTAGTCGATGCTTAAACGTTTCATATATTAAGTTAGACAGAACATGACAGAATTATGGAAGAAAAAGAGTTGATTGATAGTCTAATTATAATAAGAAAGTCTCAACATTTAATGTAGCATAATTTGAGGTGTCAAAATAGGTCATGAAGTCTATACACACAGCATGTTTCAAATTACTTCAAACTTAGTTTTTGAATGCTTTGTCATTGCTCAAACTTCTTATATTAGGCTAGACAGTACAAAACGTGACAAAATTGCATAAGAAAAAAGGAATGTCTCGATGTGTAATCTAACATAATAAGCATGACCCCGAAAAGTAATGAACATATTTAGATGTGACGAAATGGGTGAGCCCATCAAAAGCTTGAAAAAGGCCCGGACTGGATTGGGTCATGGTTGCCCCACCTATGTAGGCCAGCTATGCCGAGGTAAAAATTCTAGGGGAAATTATACTGCACCCGTCTTTTAAAGAATAAAATTCTAAAATCAGGTGATAAGTTTCATTATTCATTAATCAACTGTTTAATATTGATTATAATATTATAAATTAATTTATACACACAATATCTCTACCCTAATCATTCAAACACTAATTATTTTCACTCTCATCTTCCGCTACCTTCTGTCTTTCTACACCTTTTTGTATAGAAGTCTTTCTATACCTTTTTCTCTACCCTACCCTCAGAAATGGACTTGCCATCCTCTTCATTGTGAGCGTCTCACCACCTAACAGAAGACGGTAGCGCTTACAGCACAATGCTATGCAGAGAGGTCGCGCGCAGCTGCGGTAATGTGGAGAGGTTGCATTGTGCAGAGAAGAGGCCGAGTTCGTGTAGATCCGTGTACGGCAACACTGCCTCCATGTTTTTGTGGTGGTTCTGTGTTGTGCAGTGGTGCAAGTGGTGGTGATTCTGTGTTGTACGGTGTGGTGGTGGTTTTGCGGTTGGTGGTCAGGTGCTCAGTTGGTGAGGATTATAATGTACTTTAAATGCGACAGGTCAGAAGGGTGCTATTAGGCTATGTTGGTAGTGTAGGTCGTAAGTGGGCGTGGTGGTGGTGGTGGTTGTGGGCTGACCAACTATTTGGTTAATTCGGGACCAATTATTTGATTATTTGTCATCAACTATTTAATTGTGATTTAAAATTTTGATAATTTATAATTGCAAAATAATTCGTGATCAATTAATTTGAAAATATGTAACCTATAAATTTTTAGATTTTTGACCTATCAAAATAAATGTGACCATAAAATTATCGATGATCAATTAATTTGATAATATGTGAACAATAAATAAATTATAACCTATACATATGCACCTGTGATAATTAATTGTATAATTGTGGCATTAATATATTTAATTAATAAAATACTTTTAATTAATTAAATAATACCCAAGTTTTGAATTTTGAAACTTAAAAAAATCTAAAAATTGAATTGCTTTATACTTAAAACCTGACTTGCGAAATTTTCCCAAAATTATGATTGGTGGCCCATAAGGCCCAGGGGCCCATTGGCTACTTCTATGTTCCCCTTGTTTATCCATAATGAAAATTTAAATACCTAGCCTCCATTAATTTTTATTATAATGGGGGAATAGTATTTTTTTCTAAAAAAATGAAATGGTTGTAAAAGAATGAATTTTTTTCGATTTACGTGTAATTATTTTATTGAAGATTGTGTGGTTGAAAATAAAAAATAGAAAATTTTAATTTAATTTGATGAGATTTAATGGAAACTTAATTAACAATAATTAACATGTCATACTCTTCATTAATTATAATATTGTCAAGTTGTCCCCTTTAGCACACAAAAATTATTACTCCTCAATTCCTGACCTTTTCTTAGATGAAAGGTTAAGGTCTTAAGGAAAAAACATTATTTTTGATAACCAAAAAGATTGAGAATTTAAATGTCAAGAAACATAAATCGGAAAAATTAAACTCAATTGCTCGTTTGAGTATTAAAAATTCAGATTACAAATGTAATTTTTTATAATTGAAATTTCTCAGCAAAAATTTTAAATATGAAATTGCTTTAAAGTATTTATTTTGTTTAACCCGACGTCATTATTTTCTCTTCGCGCAGCACAACCATTAGTGTGATTTCAATGTCAATGTAATGCTTTAGCCAAACATGTTTCAACTTATTTAGAAATTACTTTTTCCTTTAACGTTCTTAGTTCAAAACTTACCTTTTATGTAGAATTTTACTTATTTTCCAAATAAAAAATAGGGACAATTACAGCAGAAGTCCCAAACGGATTTTTTTTTTTTTTTTTTTTCAGACCTTACTCTAACTTTCACTTTGTACCACCTACAATCCCAAACCTTTTTAAAAATATACACCTAAGATCCAAATGAATGGTTACTGTTAGTAGACCCAAAAAGACAAAATTTGATCAATTTTGACAAAATTAAAAAGGGGAAAATAGTGCTTTACATTTTCACTCACATTAAATAAGTTAAAAATTAAATTAACAAATCAATATATACCCACCTTCTTCCCACTCCCCCGCATCCCCACACGCACACCGACACCAACCAATTGAAACCAAAAACTATCTAGCCACCACCCACACACCACGGTACCAGTAGATGTGCCTTGATGAGGCGAACCTAGGACAAGTGGTCCACAATCGTGGGTTGCACTATCGACATGGAATTGACATTTGAGAGGCCCGAGTTTGCTTCTTGAAAAATTGATCAGTAGGTGCGTATTGAGGTACTTTGTCAACTTGGAGGGTGGGCTTGGCGTGGGTGTCATCAGAGGTGAGAACACCGACCATTTTTTAGTGCATGGGCAACTCGCTGATGATTGGGTGGGTTGTGAAGGGGAGAAGTGAGAGCTTTCGAATGGAATTGATGCTCAATGGTTTGAGCAACCATTGGTCCGTGCTTGAGTGATTCAAAGTAGGTGACTTCATGAGTGTGGGTGGGTTGTGAAGGGGGAAGTGAAAGCTTTTGAATGGAATGGATGCTAAATGGTTCAAGCAACCATTGGTCAGTGTTTGAGTGATTCAAAGTAGGTGACTTCATCAGTGTGTGTGTGGGTGCTAGGGCAATTTTATTTTTATTTTTTTAAATTGTTTTAATTGTTAATATTTGGAAAAATGCAAATATACCATTTTTGCCCTTTTAATTTGGTCAAAATTGATGAAATTTTCATTTTTCTCGTAAACTAACGATCAATCCATTCGGACCCTATACGCATATTTTTGAAAGATTTGGAACTGTGGATGGTACAAAGTGAAAATTAAGATATAATTGCAAAAAAAGCAAAATGTTAGAGACTGCTGCTACAATTTTCCCTAAAAATTACTACTACATTTTTTAAGTTTCGATATGTGATTCGACACAAAATATGGCAAGAGACACAAGAAGATAAAAAATTGATTACAAGTAGTTCAAACGATGCATAAGTGAGCAACTCTGCATTTTTAACAGATTATACTCATTTATGGAAAGCTGCATATATCCAAAATCACCTCAAAAATCCATAATGTTGGTAAAAGGATAAATTTCATACTGCGTTCGAGTTCATGAAGCAAAAAAAGGCACATGTAACAAGTAAAATAAGTAATTATCAAAAACCAGGGCACAAGAACCCATAAAAAAAAAGCCAAACAGATACCATTCGACCGGTGTCAGTCTCCATGTGAGTATGTGCCTATGTGGCCCTACCACCCACTAACCCCAACCTCAAGACAAAAATGTCCCAGACTTTAATGGCACAAAAGAATACCCTTTTTTACTACTAATTTTTCAATTTTCTTTCTCCTTTTGCTTCTTTCTGAGTCATCACTATTCAGTTTTCACTGTTCTTCATGTAACGATTCAATGGATCATAGAAAGCTGTACAGCATTAAAACTACATAAACTGACAAATTTCAAGTTTTATTATCCACTTTTTGACTCTCTGAATCAATCTAGTTGTTACACTTACAGTTCCAGCTTGCCTTTGACCATCCCAGGGTTGCTGTTAATGTACATAAATCTCCCTCAATAGCAGATAGTTCGAGTTAAGAAAGAAATAAGCTGAAGTCATCTTTGGTCGAGTACTAAACTCGGCAAAGAGAAGATAAAGAAAAAAGTTACGTTACCATTCTATGATAAAAGAGTGAGTTACTGCTACTGCCTTTTTTGTAAATAAGCTAATTGTTCAGTGTTCCAGCACAACTACAGAGAGGGTACAAAATGAACAGAAAGACCCTACTCTCATAAATTAGTTCATATGTCCTTTACCTATGCACTATGTATTGTTTTAAATAATATGCTAGTATGGTATTGATGATGACAACAATCTTGAAAAGATCTTCCTTACTGATCTTTCTTTCTTCTGTTGTATGGTTTGGCTATACTGCTAGAGGACATTCTACTAATTTGTTTATGCTACTCATACTTTTCCTGCATAAACAGATTCATAAAGTAAACATCATAAAGAGGAATCTTATGAAATTTGTATAATCGTTCAGCCGATCCGACTCCATAATTTCTGGGAACGAGCTTGAACGAGCCTTTAGTTTAGTTTATTGTTCATAGTGGAATAGAAGTTCAAGAGAGTTCTCACCAAGCTATGATAATCCCTCCCTGCCAGCCATGCTCAGCTCTAACACCTACATTTCAATGGCTTCTCGCCCAGATGAAAACCTGGTGGTCAATAACAGTACTAGATTTTAAGCACTTCTAGCGGTGAAATTGAGGGACATAAGCGAACAGTAAAAATAGAGTGATACCTTGGCATTTGGAAGTAATACGACTTAAGAGAAGCCATGTCAAGAGCTGAAGAGTTGGGCAGCAAGGGGCTGTTAGTGGACGATGCAATTACGGGTATACCTTCATCGGTATCCGTTGAAGCATGGGCAAAAAATGACTGTTGTTCAGCAGCTAGTTTTGTAGGAGAGGCAAAGAGATTATCAGGAAGAATGTGCTCCAAGCTGCATCCATGACAAACATAAAGGTCATAGTATTAGTACGGGATAATAGTAAGCACAGGCCAAGTTATCCTAGATGGAGCATGGCTTAGTGCAATAATTACATCAGAGCACCTTTTTTGATCTCTTCATACATATTCCTAGAAAGGATGTCATCTAATAAAACATTGATTTTCAGTACCTTTCAAGAAGATCAGCATCTTCAGCATTGGTTCGATCCTCCTTATTGGCATTTTCACTGTTATTGCCAAATTTGGTTGCTTCCTCCTCAGCCTTGGCTACAAGGGCGGGAAATTTAGCTGCTTCCTGGATACCGCTAATTTCTGAAACAAAGAAGTCAAGAAATGGTCACTTCTTACCAAATAAACTTCAATCATAATGCATATAGTACATCTTTGGATAAAAAATCTTGAGAGCTAAATCCTCACAAAATATAAATATTTCAATCAGCTAACCTTCTGAAACTTCTAGATCAGTAGCATGAGATTGAAGAATGAGATTTTGGTTCATTTGTAACTGAGACTGGATTGGGGAGCCAATTGGGGCGCTGGCCGACAGGTTTGGCAGGAAATGATTATTGTGATGCTGATTTTTCAGGTCCATCAGTTGCATGTTCATCACCCTTCTCCCTTGAAGATCAATAGCATGCTGTACTTCTGCCTCCTGCTCCATTTTTCTCTGGAGCATCATCTCTTGTGCATTGTAAAACATTCTCGACCCTAAGTGGAATTACCAAAGGATAATCAGTTAATAGACGCATTTACTTGGGGATGAATAAGAAGCCTGACTTGAATGCTTACCAAAGGGGGCATCGAATTGCTCTTGGGAATCAAGTCCGGACGGGCTTAAACAAGCAGAAAACTCTCCTCTTTCAATTTGTTGCTGCTGTTTCCTACAAATTGTTAATTAACAATAGGATATCATTACCGGGCAAAGCAATGAAAACAAAATATTAATGCGGAAAGGATAAAATGAAAATTTACTTTTCTAGAACTTTTCCCTTCTCCTTGTAAGGTTTCACAAGCACTCGGGAGTCGCACACAAAATGGGGGTTGCCTTTAGCCAAAATGAGCTTCACAGTCTCCGGGTAGAGAAATGTAACAAATCCGAACATTCTTTTCTGCTGATATGGAATTCTAACATCCTGCACCGGTCCATACATACTATAGATGCGTAGTCAGTACACAATTTACTTGCAATTTTAAAAAATCTCAATCTCAACGAAACAAGAACCACTTACCTGAAGTAATTGGAAACATCCTCTTCCTTAAATGTACTATCAGCCGGAAATGTCAAGTAAATCTGTCTGGCGCTTGAATTTGAACTTCCAACAAATCCCATTGCTGAAAAATCGTTCCTCTCAGGTCGACCACGGCCAAATTTATGGAGTTCGTCACCCATAAACAATGCAGCCGTAGCAGATCTACAATGTGCCGCTAATTGTAAGAGATCACGAACCAGTCGAACTCAAAAATGCAGCAATCAATAGGTTATCCCAATCACAAAAAAATTGACAACGATATACCACTGTAATTAGCAAAGGTTTCCATTATTCTAGGCTTCTAAAGACTAAAAGGAACACTAGTTTATTGCAATTGTGCTAAACAGGAGTAGACTACATTGGGCACCATAAACAGTTTATAAGCCAAAAATGCATTAAAATTATCAAATATCTCCACACAAGTAAAATTTCAAAAACAGAATGAAAGCCCAACTAAGAACCATACTAAACATACGAATTGCAACGCTCGTACAAAATGCAACTGCAGGAATTCAAAACCAATAAATACCCAGATTCACAAAACAACGGTCAAAATCAAAAGGTGAACTTCATAAAAGATAAGTTAAAAAGGGTTAATTCCCATAGAATTTACCTTTGATGTTCATTCAAGAAGTTGGGGCATTTCATATAAGCAAGTGGGTGGTGACTACCATGAGGCGAGAGTGCAAACCTATGCTGCTGTTGAAGGGCCTTCATTCTCAAGAACTCATCAAATGGCCCTGAATCCGTCTTGCTTGGGGATCCCATCTCAATTCCTTCACTGCAAAAACCACCGTGCAAGAATTTGCACCTATTGTCATTCTTGCAAAAACCTCTAGCAAAGTACATGCAAGGCCTCCAACCACCCCTACCATTTCCATCATCAAAACCAGAAAGAAGAGCAGCATCATTAACTGAACAACTCCTTCTATGAAATGGGTGTGAATGGGGCGAAGGAATGCCATTCACATCCTCACCAAAAGGGAAAACCAGAGAATCGCTCCTCACACTGGGACTAATTATTGGATCCACCACGGAATCGTCAATAAATGGAAACTCTTGAACTTGATTATGCATTCCCCCACCAGACTCATCAGCAAAATCATTTCCATCATAAAAAGGCAAACTTGAGGGCCCTGAACCACTATTTTCATTATCATTAGAACCAATGGAACCATTGACAACGGCTGCATAAGAAATGGGTCTTGGGCTACTTCTTGAGAAACCTGCAGCAGATGAAGAAGGGTTACTCGTATGGAACCCATAGTTGGGAATCAAGATTCTTGGCTTATTTTGAGGAAATGGGTTGTTTGGTCTCATGGGATCTGACAAGGGAGTTGAAGGGTTGGAAGAAGGGCTATTTGAAGGAAGCCCCAAACAGGCCTTTGCTTGGTTGATGCAAGATAGCAAAAGTGCTTCAGGACCAAAAGCTAATCTCAAAATCTCCTTCTCCCCTTGTTCTTGTATCAGTATATAACCCATGATTTTTGAAGCGTTTTCTGGATCCATACTTTGGATCCTAGACATCACTATTTTAGTAGCTTCATATGTATCCATGGATTTCTATATTTTTTTTCTTACTATTTCCTGCAAAGGGCTTTTCTTGGATTTTCTTTTTTCCCTCTTCTGGGGAAGGTGTATGATTTTAAGGAGAGCCCTCAAGAAAGACTAAAAGGCTTTTCAAAGAGAGAGATTAGAGGGGAAAGATGAGTTTTTTTGTTTATTTTGGGGACTTAATAGGAAGAGGGCGGCAAAGATTTAACCATTTTATAAAAGGTAAGGATAGACTCGTGCTTATATTCGAGTAGTCATTGTATACCATATGAAGGGAGAGCGTGAGTGTGTAGAAAGGGAGAGTAGAGTAGGGAAAATGAGATTTTGGTATGTTTTTCAATTTTCCTTTTGTATTTTTGGGCATCTTTTCTCTTTCCCTCTCTTCATGGCTGATGGGATGGGAATTGCAGAGGCGGTGGTCAAAGAGGCGGAGGTGGCGATTGGTGGAGAAGAAGGTGGTGGAGCAAAAACAAAAACAATAACTTGAACTTGAAACCACAACTTTTGGTACCAGTGCAACCTGCAACTTTGGGGAGACACTTTCTTCTCTCTGAATAGTTTATACACAGACTTTCTCTCTCCTGTATGTATTGCAATTGTCGTTATACATGTGGACAAAACAATGCTATGTGGGGAGTCTAAATTAAGACCTGCTTCAAAGGGGAAAATTATTCTCGCGTCCCCTGTTTTGGCCATTGGACTTAATTATTCCCCAAATTTGAAACATAACAAAATTTGTGCCATTTTCGCCACTATGTTGCACATGGAAGAAATTCGATTAAATGTATCTCATTGAATGGTATTGTCTAGTATTGTGGTGTATGTTTCATACGTTAGATTGAATGGTTTTAAACACAAAAGTTTAGATTTCTTGCTTGTTTATTAACTTGATAGTAATGATTGATTTAACTATTGTTTCTAGAGTTTGAAGTTCCTCTTTCGAAAACAATCCGACAGAATCACTTGAATGTAAGAATTGATCAACAGGATCTAAACAGTAATTCGAGCTCACCGATTTCACGATATTTCCTTAAAACGAATTTGCTGCCAATGGTGTTAAAGACGTCCAGCAATCGTTTCCCAGGATAGAACGAATTTTCGTCTCCTTCGGAAGCAGCACTGCAATCTGCAGGAGTTCCAACGAACTCAACGAAGTGTGTTTTACTTCGAGACAATATCAGAACAAGAGAGAGGGAAATGAGATTCAAAACACAGAAAGTTTGCAATGAAAATAGTGTTAATTTTCTGGTAGAGAGGCTGACTATTTATAGACTTGTTCGTGGCCATTCAAATAGTCATCACCTTTCAGACAAGCCTCAAAAATCCGAACAGACATGCTGTTCTAAAAAGTCGTGTCTGTTAAGTCGGTTAATAGTCGGCTAACAGTCGACTGTTTGGTCGGTAAACAGTCGACAGTTTGGTCGGTAAATAGTCGACTGTTAAAAGAAAATAAAACACTCGGAATAAGCTAAAATTTAAATTTCATATTGTACCCAAGAATTTGATTATTTACAATTTGGCCCAAATTTTAAATAAATTTTGTCCAAAAAGTTAATATAGTGTAAAGGTCCACCCGCACCCGCACCAAATCGGATCGGACTCGGACACGGGCACGTGCTCGTACTCGTGCCGTGCCGTGCCGAGCCGGCCAGCGCATGTGGGTTTATGACTGAACCCAATAGGATATAGGTCTTCCCCCTTCCAAAGACTATTGGTACCCCTTGGGGCCCAAACCCAATTCCAAACTTCCACCTTATAAACCACACCAAAGTTTCCTAACTTTCCTATGTGGGATAAGTGTTTGGAAAATCAAATTCTTCCATAATCCTTAGTTTATGTGGGTTACTTTAACACTTAATATTTCATTCAATTTTAAATGGTTTTCGATAAATAAATATATCACGTTAATCATCTCGCGGAGTAGAATGTGATATGCTAGGTCCCGTATTAATTAAAAGGTGGGTCCCACTGAAGTTTGGGCTCAAAGTTGATCCATTAACCATTTTTTCCAACAATCCCCCACATGAATGAAATATGTTGGCCTTTATTCCAAACGATAACATCTGATATGTTTTTTCAAAGAAAAAATTGAAGAAGATTGCATCGGGATAAGTAGTCAATGACTTTGAACTTTTCCTAGTAAAATCTATCGAAATTCCTTAGCCAATCAGTAGCAAGTTGCTTTGAACAGTCAGCCGTTTATGGAAACCTAGACAATAGAAGTCACACAGCTTTCTTCTGACACAGTTGGTTCTCACGTTTGTGTCCATTTTGGCCTTGGACACCTCCTGGTTTATGAGTGGTTTTTAGAGAATTCATCTTCACCTAATTCTCTTAGAAGCGGCCCCTTCTCACTCACATAGGTGATTTTCATAAAGAGTATTCTGCTATACTCCACTTGAACGAATCAAGATATAGAAATCATTAAAAGCGTATCTTAACCTATTTCGCGGCAACTGGGCACTAGCTCATCATAGGAATGGGTAGAAGTAAAATCTTCCTAGTGCATACTAAGTTTTTCACAGTTCGATTGTCCCGTTGAACCTAAATCTTGGGATCTCCAGTCAACTAGGTTGGGTTGCCACCATGGAAACTTTTGATTATTTTATTAGTTTTAATCCCATCCCCTTCGATGAACTTTCGACTTGCTCTCTTGTTAAACTTTTAGTTAGCGGATCCCCAATATTCTCTTTTGATTTCACATACTTTATAGAGATAATACCTGTAGAGAGCAATTGTCTAACAGTATTGTGTTTACGACGTATATGTCGAGATTTACCGTTATACATTGTATTTTGTGTCCTACCAATTGCTAATTGACTATCGCAATGGATACATATAGCAGGCACAGGTTTTACCCAACATGGAATATCTTCTAGAAAGTTTCGTAGCCATTCGGCTTCTTCTCCGGCTTTGTCTAATGTAATGAATTCAGATTCCATTGTTGATCTAGCTATACATGTATGCTTTGAAGATTTCCATGATATTGCAGCACCTCCAAGTGTAAAGACATATCCACTTGTTGATTTGGAGTCTTTAGTATCTGATATCCAATTTACATCACAGTATCCTTCAAGTACTGCTGGATATCTCGAATAGTGCAATCCAAAATTTTGGGTATGTTTTAAATACCCTAAAACTCTAACAATAGCCTTCCAATGATCAGTGCTTGGATTACTTGTATATCGACTTAGCCTACTAATTGAATAGGCAATATCAGGTCGAGTGCAATTCATGACATACATTAAACTGCCAATGATACGAGAGTATTCCAATTGAGACTTACTATCACCAGTATTGGAAACAAAATGCATACTAACATCCATAGGTGTTTTCATAGGAATAATATTATATTGCTTGAATTTATCAAGAATCTTCTCAATGTAGTGTGATTGAGACAATATTAGACAATCAGATGTTCTAGAAATTTTAATTCCTAATATAACATCGGCCACACCTAAATCCTTCATTTCAAATTTACTTGTTAGCATCCTTTTTGTAGTTTGAATTATGGTATCATTGTTACCCATAATCAACATGTCATCTACATATAAACATACCATGACATATCCATTTGGAGTGTTCCTGACATAAACACATTTGTCACACTCGTTAATTTTGAAACCATTTGACATCATAACCATGTCAAATTTTTCATGCCATTTCTTAGGAGCTTGCTTTAATCCATATAATGATTTAACAAGTCGACACACTTTCTTTTTTTTTCCTGAGGCCACAAATCCTTCAGGTTGCTCCATATAAATTTCTTCATCCAATTTCCCATTCAAAAATGCCGTTTTAACATCCATTTGATGTATATCCAAACCATTTAATGCTGCTATTACAATAAGCATACGTATGGATGTGATTCTTGTCACAGGAGAATAGGTATCGAAATAATCAAGACCTTCTTTTTGCTTGTAGCCTTTAGCGACAAGTCTTGCTTTATATTTGTCAATTGATCCATCTACTTTCATTTTCCTTTTAAAAATCCATTTACATCCCAAAGGCTTATTACCGGGAGGGAGGTCTACTAATTCCCAAGTATGATTTTGTAGTATGGATACAATTTCACTATGAACAGCTTCTTTCCAATATGAAGTTTCGGTTGATGACATAGCCTCCTTAAAACTTTGAGGTTCATTTTCTAACAAATATGTTAGAAAATCAGGCCCAAAGGAGGTTGACGTCCTAGCCCTCTTACTTCGTCTAGGTTGTTCATTTATAGATTCTTGATCTATAGTCTCTTCGTTTTCACGAGATCTCTTTTGTGAATTTGATTCACCTTGCATGTTATAAAGAAAAGTATTTTCAAAAAATGTAGCATCCCTTGATTCAATAATTGTATTAACATGCATATCAGGTATTTCAGACTTATATACCATAAATCTGTACGCATTACTATGGTAGGCATAACCAATGAATAGACAATCAATGGTTTTAGGTCCTATCTTAACCCTTTTAGGTTTAGGAACTACTACCTTAGCCAAACATCTCCATACCTTCAAGTATTTATAATTAGATTTGTGACCTTTCCATACTTCATAAGGTATCTTTTGCATTTTTCGATGTGGTAGTTTGTTAAGAATATAATTTGCAGAAAGCAAGGCTTCCCCCCACAAGTTCTGCGGTAATCCAGAACTTATTAACATAGCATTCATCATCTCCTTCAATGTTCGATTCTTGCGTTCAACAATACCATTAGATTGAGGAGAATAAGGCGTGGTAGTTTGATGAATAATTCCGTGTTTCGAACAGAATTTCTCAAATGGTGAATCATATTCACCACCTCTATCACTTCTTATGGCCTTAATCTTTTTGCTAAGTTGATTTTCAACTTCTAACTTGTAGTGTTTAAATACTTCAATTGTTTCGTCTTTACTTTTGAGCAAATACACATAAGAATATCGAGTACAATCATCGATAAAAGTGATAAAGTACTTATTACCTCCTCTAATTTGAACAAATTTTAAATCACTTAACGAAAGGGTAGATGTGACATTTTGGCTTTTACACATATATCTTATTTGTGATTAGGATTTAAATCACACTTTGGTAATAAATCTATTTTGATTAGTCTACACAAAGTGTTATAACTTGTATGTCCTAATCGTTCATGCCAAATGTTAAATGACTCAAACAAGTAAGAAGAAGATTTATTCTTATTCATAATTGGAGGTATAACAGTCATTATATTCAATTTAAAGAGCCCCTCATTCAGGTAGCCTTTTCCTACAAACATTTCATTCTTTGAGAGTACAAATTTGTCCGAGACAAATACTAGCTTAAACCCGTTCTTACTTAGTAGAGAACTAGATACCAAGTTTTTCCTAATATCGGGCACATGAAGAACATCATTCAAAGTGAGCTCTTTTCCAGTTGTCATTTTCAGCACTATCTTCCCATGTCCTTCTACTTTGGAAGATGACGAGTTTCCCATGTAGAGATGTTCATCATGATCCATTGCTTTGTAGGTAGAGAACATCCCGCAGTTTGAGCATATGTGACGAGTAGCTCCAGTATCTACCCACCACTCCTTAGTGTTTCCAATTAAGTTGCATTCAGAGATGATTGCAGAAAGATTCATGTCTT